ATCTGTAGCAGTGGTTCTTAACCTTGGCTGCACATTAGAATCACCTGGGAATCTTTTTAAAATCCTGATTCCTGGGCCTCATCCTCTGGAAATTGTTTCTTTGTTATGAGCTGGGGCCACAACATTAGTAACAAAGAAACAGAATTAAAACTTTATTGTTGGGAGCCGCTACAGTGTTTGGACAGGTTCAAGCCTTGGACTGAGGAGAGGTCAGGGTCCTCTCATTGCCATGTGCAAGTCCCAGGTTGGAGGGCAGGGCCCTCCCAACACAATTATAGCCAACAGTTGTAGTTGTAAGCTTGAACCTATGGTCTGAACACATGGCTCCACGTGCCTGAGTGATGTAGGCTTGATAGAGTTCAGGTGCATGTAGTTAGCTAGGATTGAAACCCAGGAGAATGTTTGTAAACATCTTGGTCATGCCCTTACTTTGCCTCATAGCATCTGCTATAAAATAAAGGCCTGGCTGTGGGCATGGTCGCTGTCTCTCAGAGAAGTAGCATCCCACTGAGGCCTGGCTTTCATTCCCTTGTCTGTCTTTTCTAAGCCTTTCAGCCGCCCCCGCTCAGGTTCACCCCTGGCCATGTTGGCGCAGCACACTTTATAAAGCTCTGCCTCGATGCTCCCAAGGTGGGTTCTTGCCTCAAACCCCGCCCTTACAGGAAACAGCTCCAGGAAACAGCTTGGGGGAGGGCACAGCCATTGCCAAGACAACCCCTGTAGGACTGATTTCCTTCTACTTGGTTGCAGCAGTTCTTCTGGATGTGATGAACACCACCCATGGTTTTTATATAAGTAGACTAGAGGAACATTTTGACTCTTCTGTGGTGGTTCTTTTTTTTTAATCTCAGAGGTGACAGCTAGTGAGGGTACTAAAGGATGAGCAGCCTGTCAGAGAAATCCCATTTCACTTTGACCAGCTCTGTACTTACTAGTATATATTTATCCTTAGTTTTCAACCGCCCCCACTCAGGTTCACCCTTGGCTGTGCTGGTTCGGCACACTTTATAAAGATCTGCCTCCATGCTCCCAGGGCAGGTTCCTGCCTCAAACTTCGCCCTTACAGGAAACAGCTCCAGGAAACAGCTTGGGGGAGGGCACAGCCATTGCCAAGACAACCCCTGTAGGACTGATTTCCTTCTACTTGGTTGCAGCAGTTCTTCTGGATGTGATGAACACCACCCATGGTTTTTATATAAGTAGACTAGAGGACCAGTGCACGAATTTGTGCATTGGTGAGGTCCGGCCAGCCCACACTGATTGGGGTCAGTGGTGATTTGGGACAGGGCCAGCTGAGGGGAGGGGCTGCAGGCAGTTGGCCAGCCAGCCCCACCCCCTGGTCAAACTCCCAGTCGAACTCCTGGTCGAGGGGCCAATTTGTATATTAACCTTTTATTATATAGGATTGGTCTTCTTTCATGAAAATGACTTCTTTTTAGTTCATTAATATCTTGACATTATAAAAGAGGCCATAGAGGGGAAAACTAAGATGGCGGCATAGAGAAACACCGGAAAATTGCTGCCTCCCACAACAACTTCAAAAATACAACAAAAAGACAAAACGGACATCATCCAGAACTACAGGAAGGCTGGCTGAGTAGAAATTCTACAACCAGAAGGAAAGAGAAAAACACACTGAGAGCCAGAGGAGCTGTGGAAGTAAAGTGCAGACATAAGGAGGCTCACGCGAAAGGGGCTGGCACCTGAGGACACGGCTGTCTTTTTGAATTGGGAGGTAGTCACAAGCTCCCGACTGCTCTGAACTCCGGTT